CCCCCCTGCGCCCCCCGTGCCCCTCCTGACCGGCGCCATTGGCCGCCTCCCCCCTGCGCAGGACGCTCCGCCGGCAGCTCCTCCCCCACCAGCCCCGCCGACGGCACGCCCCCCTCCCTGAGCCGGTCAGACTCGGTGTCCACCTTCCACTCGACGCACAGCTCGCTGCAGCACGGCGAGGCCGATGACTCGGGATCCCTGGCCGAGCATCCGGCGCACCCCCACTGGCACGGGTCCGACAGCGAGCAGGGCGAGGACTGGCTCCATGTGGACGGCAGCCCGGCCGACGACTCGGCCTCCCTGTCCTCCTCCTCCGGGCACCTGGCCTCCCTGTCGCAGGCCGAGGCCCTGGCCCAGACGCAGCTCCGGTACGCAGCGGCCCCGCCCCGCCCCGCCCGACCACCATGTCCTCCATTCGCACGCACGCGCGCGCGCTCGCCGCCCACTCACGGATGGAGAACCGCCCCGCCCCCCTCCCCCCCCGCAGCATCATCTGCGACAAGGCCGGGCAGCCGGTCTGCATCATGTTCCGCGGGCATACCCTCATCACCCAGCGCTCCTCCAGGGGCGCCTCCAGCGGGTCCAGCGCCCAGCTCCTGGCCAGCCTCGGGGCCCAGGCCGGCGACATTCACTCCCTCGCGGGCGCCGGCGGCATGTCCTCCACCACCAATGCCTCCGACACGGCCAGCATCCACTCCATGTCCTCGTACGCCGAGTCGGTGGACTATGGCACCGTCGGGGTCGGCCGGTCCGGCAGCACCGCCGCCAACATCCTCAAGGGGTCCCGCCTGAAGCGCCTCGCCAAGAGCACCTCCCGCTGTGCCATCTGCCAAGAGTCGGTCCTCTTCGCCGTCGGCGCCGGCCGCAGCACCTGGCGCTGTGATCTCTGCAACATCATCCTCCATGAGCAGTGTGTCGACGCGCTGGCCACCCAATGTGTCTTCTCGCCGATCGGTGCGTCGCTTAGCCCTGCTCCCTCGCCGCGCCCGGCCCGGGTGCTGTTTGCCCGGCCCGGGTGCTGTTTGCCCGGCCCCGCCTCCCCCCGACGTCTCTGACCCCCGACGCGTGTCCCGTCACCGCGCCCGGGCGTGGGCGTGAACTCTCTCCCTCTCCCTCGCCCTTCGCTCTTCGCAGTCGACCCATCCACCCCGACCGGCCCGCAGGCCTCCGGCTCCGCCGACGAGTCGTCCCCCCTGTCGTACGCGCCCCCCCCCTCCGCCCCTCTGTGCCACCGGCCGACATTTCGCCGCCACCGCTGACGCTGACGCCGATCCCCCCCCCCCTCCCCCCCCCCCCCCACCGCCGCCTCCAGGAACATCCCATCCTCCCCGTCCAACGTGTCCATCAGCTCGCTGGCCAGCGTCAGCACCCCCTCCGGCCAGAAGACCCTCGGATCGCACACCTTCCAGGCCCAAACCTACCGGACCCTGCGCCAGTCGTGCTCCATCTGCCGCGAGCGCATGTGGAGCCTCAGCCGGTCCTCGGGCTGGCGCTGCAAGGGTGCGCCCCAGCCCCCCTGCCCATGGCCTCCTCTTTCTTGTTCTTCTTTTTTTTTTTTTCCCTTCCCCCTCCTGGTGGCCCCCCGACGACTGACGCCGCTCCCCGCCCGCCCCGCGCCCAGGCTGCCAGATGGATGTCCACCCGCGCTGCTTGGAGGCCGTCCCGGCGCTCTGCTCGCCCAAGTCCCCGGCCGGGCCCGGGCCCGAAGCCGGCAACAGCCCGGCCGGCGCGCGGGTCGCCGGGCCCGGGACCGGGGCCGGCCCCGGCAGCGGCTCCTCCCCGGCCGCCCCCTCCGGCGGCCCGCCCGCCTACTCCCCCTCGGACTTGGATGACATCCACGCCGCGGCCGGGGTCACCACCACCGGGTCCAACGCCGGGCCGGTGCCCGTGCGGCGGTCCTCCGGCGGGTCGTCCTCCATCTTCCGGCGCAAGGCCCGGCCCCTGTCCACCGCGTCGGTGGGCGGCGGCCTCAGCGATGAGGATGGCCCGAGCTCGCCCTTCCCCGGGGCCGGCGGCGGGGCCGGCGGCGGGGCCGGTCCCTCCGAATGGCCGGCCCCCATCCTGGCCGTGCTGGAGATGTCCAACCGGTCGCTGCCCTGGGCGGTGGCCGGCCCGGGGCACCTGTTCGAGCCGATCCTGGCCGGGTGCACCCCCTCGGCCGCCACGTCCAGCTTCCAGCCCGGCACCACGCACGCCTGGTGCCGCGGCTGCTCCAGCTTCCTGAGCTCCGCCCCGCAGCCGATGGCCGCCCCGCCGGCCGAGCTATGTGCCTCCGAGCACGCGGTCCTCTCGTTCCTGGTGTCGCTGACGCACAACCGGTCGCAGGCGGCCACGGCCACGGGCACGGCCGCCCCCGCCGCCGCCGCCGAGATCGACCCCTCGACCCCCGGGTCGCCCGGCCCGACGACCGCCGCCACCCCGGAGCCGGCGGCCGCCCACCACCGCCGCCACAGCAGCCCCACCGTCGCGCCGACCGCCCCGCGCCATGCGGCCTCCGGGTCCCAGTCCTCGGTGTCGCTGTCCACCACGGCCTTCGGCATGAGCACCCCCCAGAGCGTGGGCCGGCTGTCCGGCCTGCCGGTGTCCCAGGCCCTGATGGATGTCATCGCCCCCCTGGGCTGGGGCTACCGGTGTGTCTTCTGCTCGCTGCACGTGCACGACCGGTGCCTCGGCGCCGCCAGCAACCCCTGCGTGGCCGGGGCCTACTCGCCGGCCCCGGCCCCGGCCCCGGCCGAGGACAGTCCCCTGGCCCCGGGCCCCGGCGGCGCGCGGCTCCTCTCCCCGGCCGAGATCGAGCCCCTGCTGGCGGACTTGCTGGCCAGCTCCGAGTCGATGGCCGGCCTGCCGGCCGGCTGGCTGGCCACGCCGATCGTCACCCCGGCCGACGGGTACTACGTGGAGGATGGCCTGCACCACCGGCTGACCCGGCTGCTGGCCGTGCCGGAGCCGGCCGACCCGCTGGACGAGGACCACCATCCCCCCCCCTCGGGCGGGGTGGCCGCCGGCCGGGGCACCGGGCCGCTGCTGGCCGATGGCCTGCGCCTGCTCGACGCCGGCCAGCGCCTGGACCCCATCACCTCGCCGCTGGACCTGGCCGATGTCGGGTCCAACTGGTACCACCGGTACTTCTTCGGCCGGGATCACCTGTGCCTGCTGGTTGAGGGGTCCACCCCGACCGACCTGTCTTCCGGCAATCCACCACAAATTGTCACCATCGTCCGGGAGTGGGTGCACCCGGCCGAGGCGGTGGTGGCCGCCTACCAGCCCGGCGCCCGGGCCCCGGCCCCCGGCAGCCCCATGGCCTCGGCCTTCGGCATGTCCAGCCTCTCGCTGCAGAGCTCCTCCCCCTCCACGGCGCAGTCGCCCCAGGCGGCCCTCTATGTGGCGGCCCGCAGCGCCCTCACCTCCGGCCAGCCGATCCCCCTGCCGGTGGGTGTGTCCGCGCGCATGCTGCCCTCGTGGCCCTCGTCCCGGGCGGATGGCGGCGCCGGCGCCGGCGTGGTCGGCAGCGCCGATGGCGCCAGCCGCGCCCGGTCGCAGTCGGTCTCGGCCGCGCCCTCCGGGGCTGCGCATTATCCTCTGCACGCCGGCCCGGCGGCCTCCGGGTCCGAGGCCAGCGTGGCGGCCGAATCGCAGCCCGGCGATGCGGCGGCCCCCGGGGGGGCCGCCAAGGCCGCCACCCCGTCGGTGGCCTCCTCGCCGGATTTGGACTCGCTCCGTGCCACGGCCGGCAGCGCCAGCAGCGTGGCCAGCCTGCCGCGCGCCCTGTCCGCCACCTCGGTCTCCGGCGACATGGCCCCCACGGCCAGCCTGCAATACCGCGTCATCATTTGGCAGGCCACCGGCCGCATTCAGGCCGTCGTGCCGGCCACCTCGCTGGGCCTCATGAATCGCGAGCTCCAGGCGCACCTGCTGGCCGCGGCCACCGGGCAAAGCAGTGCCGCGGCCGTGGCCGCCGCCGCCGCCGCCGCCGCCGCCGCCGCCGCCGTGCCCAGCTCGCCTGTCAGCCCGTCGGCCCTCCAGCCGCCATCGATGTCCCCCCTGACGGCGGCCCCCTCGCCCACCGGCAGTGTGGCGGCCCTGCCGTCGGACCTGGTGGTCCCGCCGACCCCCGGGTCCGGGCAGCTGGTGTCCCACCGGGTGGTCGATGTCCTGGCCCTGGCAGCCGGGCACCTTTTCGTTCATCGGGTGGTGCGTTGTCTGGCTCGCGGCGCTGTGCTGCATGCGGGGCCTTTCTTCTTCTGCTGCTTCTTCTTCTTCTTTTCGCTCTTCTTTCCGGTTGTTTCCATTCTCCTCTTCTTCCCCCGCCCCTCCTCGATGGCCACCTCCTCTCACACACCATGTCCACGCCGCGCGCCCCACACAGCCCAAGTTCCGCCAGCTCACCCAGGTCGCCACGGCCTACGTGAAGATGGCGCGCGAGCTGCAGCAACTCGAGCGCGACCAGTCGCCACTCACCTTCAAGTTCGGCGTCGTCTATGCCAAGGCCCGGCAACAGACCGACAGCGCCATGCTGGCCAATTCCTGCTGCGACTACACGGCCTCCCTGCCCAATGGCGTGGACCACTCGGTCGACGGGCACTCCTGCCACTTCGAGCGCTTCCTCGATCACCTGGGCACCCGGCGCATTCGCCTGCGCGATTGGGCCTCCTACACCGGCGGCCTGGACACGGTCAATGACCTGACCGGCACCCACTCGCGCTTCCTCAGCATGACGGCCCCGGCCGCCCTGGCCGGCACCGGCCCCGAATTCGGCAGCGAGGCCAATAACCTCAATGTCTCGATCATGTTCCATGTGAGCACCTACCTGCCGCTGGAACTGCCGGCCGGCATGGTCGCCACGTCGGCCCCGAGCTTGACCTCGGTGGCCGAGTGCGACACCGACCAGCGCCAATCCTCCTACCACCGGCCCTCGGCCGAGGCCCTGGAACTGGTGCAGTCGGTGGCCACGGCCGCGGCCGCGGCCGCCGCCCAGGCCCAAAGCCACCGCACCGGCGCCGGTGGCCCGCCGGCCGGCGACACCCCGGCCGCCATGGGGGGCACCGACTCGCCGGCCACCATGGCCGGCAATGGCCCCGGCCAGCAGCAGCAGCAGCAGCAGCCCCCCCGGTCGCACAGCGCCTCCTCCTCCACCAGCAGCGTGCACCAATTCTCCCCGCAGGCCGGCCAGCAGCCCTTCTCCGCCGGCGGCAGTAACAGCCACCTGGCGGCCGAGGGCGGGGCTGGCGGAACCGGCCTCGCTCCCTCCTCCTCGGCCGGGGGCGGCCGGCCGTCCCCGGCAGCCGCCCTCTCCCACCACCTGTCCTCCTCGCAGCAGTCCGTCTCGTCGGCGTCCTCCGCCGGCGGCCATGCCGCTCGCGTCGGGTCCATCTCCTCCCTGCGCGAAAGTGACCTGCCCCAGCAGCTGGCCCGCAAGCGGCACATCGGCAATGACATCGTGTCGATCGTGTACTCCGATGACCCGCACTTCACCTTCGACCCGCGGTCCTTCGCTTCCCAGTTCCTTCACACCTTCATCGTGGTGGTCCGCGTGCCGGAGCACATGTGCCGCATTGGTGGCGACGGCGACCACAGCCCGGCCACCCCCGCCCCCGCCCCCGCCCCCGCCCCCGCCACCACCACCATCCACTCGCCTGGCCTCGAGTCTTCTCCCTCCCCGGCCCCGGAGCCGGCGGTCACCGGCAACGGGGAAACTCTGTACCGCGTGAGCGTGGTCACGCGCACCGTGGTCCCGGCCTTCGGGCCGGACCTCCCGGCCCACGGGCTCCTCACCGAGTCCCAGCTCCGGCCATTCATCCTGGCCAAGCTGGTCCAGGCCGAGCGCGGCGCCCTCCGGTCGCCGATGTTCACCGTGCGCTCGAGCAAGACCGCCGCCTCGACCCTGCAGCACTTGAGCTCCACGCACTTCTGCGGACCGGAGAGCTCCGGCGCCGGGGCCGCCATGGCCGCCATCCTGGGGCCCGCCGTTGCCGGCGGACTGGCGGCCGGCGGCGGCGGCGGTGGGCCCGGCACTCCGGGCTCCGGGGCCTCGGCCGCCGGCAGCCAGCCCGGCCCCGGGGCCGGCGTCTCCGGCGGCGCCAGCGGCAGCGGGACCGGGGCCGCCTCCGGCACCGCCGGCGGCCCGCTGTCAGGCCCCTCCCACAACAACCCCGGCGGGCCACTGACCAATAGCACCTCCACCCAGACCCTCAATGGGGCGGGCGGGGCGGCTGGCAGTGGTGGCAGCGGCGGCGGCGGCGGCGGCGGCGGCCTGTCCCGCCATGCTGGCTCGGCCTCGGCCGTGAACCTGCCACACCTGCAGACCGCCTCCGGCGGCGGTGGCAGTGGCCTGTACGCCGGCAGCGTCCTGGCCCTCAAGGTGGAGACCACACCGAGCCATGTGATCGCCGCGGCGACCTCCCTGCCTTCTCATGGTGGCGGCTGCCTGCCCGCCTCCTCTGTCCTTGTTTCTTCGGTCACCGCCGCGGCCGGGCTGGCGGCCGGCGGCAGCCGCACCGCATCGCCGACCTCCTCGCCGATGGCCGGCACCGGCCGGGCCCGCGCGGCCACCCTGGCCGCCGTTCCCCTCAGCCGTTTGAACTCCCTGTCCATCACCAACAGCGATGAATCCGACGAGGAGGAGTCGCTGGAGGAGGAGCACGACCAGGCTGACGGCTGCTCCGGTGCCCTCCCCCGGTGTCCGCCGGCTGTGGCCACCCACGATGACGGGGCCATCCCCTCGTCCGAGCATTCCCCCATGGCCGGGCTGACCATCAACCATCCGCCGGTGTCCCTGTCGCCGCTGGACTGCAGCGCTCTGACGTCGCCCGCCGCCGGCGGCCTCGATGACGGGCCAGGTGCCGGGTCCTCCTCCTCGTCCGGTGTGTCGTCCTCCGTGTCCAGCCCCGGCGGCGCGGTCATCACCCGGATTTGAGCTTCTCTGTCCTTTCTCTCTTTTCTCTTTTTGTGCCCATACACATTTTCATGTCCGTGGACTGTTGGTGTTCCCCATGTACGTGCATGCGTGCGTGCGTGCGTGCGTGCGTGCGTGCGTGCGTGCGTGCGTGCGTGCGTGTGTAGATGGTGAGTCTGAGCCAGGCCCCAGCTCCTGGGGGGGGGGGGGGGCGATCGTGTTGGCGGGGCCACGGTCTGGGGGGCGCGGGGGCATCCATCGCAACAGCGGCAGTGCCTGCGGTGCCTGTAGTGGCGGTGGTGGCGGGACGCACCACACCGGCCAAGGAGGGGTGCTCAGGACGTGTGGCCCGGGCCCCCCATGCGCGCTCCGCACCACGCCCAGGCGCCCCAGCGGGCGGGCCCTCTCGCACAGAGCCTGCTCCTCCTCGCCTGCCCCCCGTGTGTGGCATTCGCCGGGGCATGGAATGGCGCGCGGGAACGAGCAGCACAACGGAGAAACCGGGGGGCCCCAT